AAACAGAATTGAAGACAGCACCAAATAGTGGCAAAAGACTTTAACACACTACTCTCACCAATGGATAGATGAACTCAAAAGAAATTTAACAAAGATACAAAAGATCCAAGCAATACATTCAGCCAACTTGACCTTGTGGATATATTCTGAGTCCTGCACCCAACTAAAACTCAATTCAGTTTCTTCTCAAGTGCATATGATACATTTTTCAAATTGATCACATATTAGGGCACAAAGCGAGCCTCTACAAATTAAAAAACATTGAAATAAGAGAGATGCAAATCAAAACCACAATGAGATACCATCTCACTCCAGTACAAGTGGCAAAGTTTAACAAGACAGCAAGAAATAAATGTTGAAGAGGATGTAGAGAAATAGGAACTCTTGTACACTGTTAGTGAGATTGTAAAATGGTACAACCACTCTAGAAGGCAGTTTGGTGCTTTCTCAAAAAGCTGAACATAGAAATTCCATATGACCCAGCTATTTCACTGTTTAGAATACAATAGACTTTTAAATCTTGCAACTGGCAAAGTAAAAGTGGGTTGCATGTATAATCCACCAAATAATGATCTGGCCCATTTGAGACCTAGCTATTCCACTGCTTGGAATACAATAGAATTTTTAAATCTTCCAATTGGCAAAGTAAAAGTGGGTTTCATATATGTAACCCCAAATAAGGAACTGGTCAACTTGAGAATACTACAAACTTCCTGTAGTCATCATTGTATGATACACAAAAATAATTCATTACAGAATATTTGAGGTGAAGAGCGCAAGATTTTAGATCAATTTGGAGTTCAAGTTCTAATTAGAATATAATATTAACCATGATTCTGCCTTTCTGAGATGTCAAGTTTTGTTTTATTGTCTATTTGCTTTTCATTAAATCATTCATACACTTTTTATTTTATAGTTGGCTATAATTGATCAATACCATTTATTATAACACATCATCAAATCCTCACTGTACCTTGCATTTATTCACCCTATCCATCTATTCACTAATCTCAACAGCCTTATTTTAATAAAATAGAGTAAATATCTTTGACAAGTATAAAAAATAAAAGTACACATTACAAAGTAGAAAATGAAACATAAAAAAAAAATCACCACCACTTTGAGAAAAGTTTGGATTTTCTATTTTATGAATGTGTAAGCTAAATGACAAATATGTTTAATTCTCATGTGTATTTTGAGTTAAAATACAACTGGAAAAATTGGAAAACAAACAAACAAAGCAAAATTATGTGTTCTGAGGGTGTCTTAAAGAAGGAAGAATCAAAGAAATATGAAGGACAACCACCTGGACAACTGACTGGAAGAGATCTATCTTTGTTCCCATTCCAAAAAAAAAACGTGACCTAACAGAGTGTGGAAATTATTGAACAATATAATTGACATTACATGCAAGCAAGATTCTGCTGAAAATTATCCTAAAATGACCTGAGCAGTACATCAACAGAGAACTGCCAGAAGTGCAAGCTGGGTTTAGAAGAGGCTGTGATGTACTAGGGATATTATAGCTGTTAAGTGGACCTTGGCTGAAAGCAGAGAGTACCAGAGGAATGTCTATCTGTGTTTCATTGACTATGCAAAGGCTTTTGACTGTGTGGATCACAACAAACTGTGGCTGACTCTGAGAAGAAAGGGAATCCCCGAACATTTGATTGTGCTTATGCAAAACCTACACTTGGACCAGGAGGCAACCAACAGAACAGAGCAAGGAGATACTGCATGGTTCATAATCAGGAAGGGTGTAAGCCAGGGATGTATTCTGTCTCCATACCTTTTCAATCTATATGCAGAACAGATCATCTAGGAGGCTGGGATTTATGAGGAGGAATATGGCATCAGGATTGGAGGAAGACTCATTAACAACCTGTGTTATGCAAATGACACAACCCTGCTTCCTGAAACTGAGGAGGACCTGAAGTGGTTGCTGCAAAAGATCAAGGACTGCAGCTTTCAATATGGATAGAAGCTCAACAAGAAGAAAACAGATTCTCACCACTGAGCAAATTGAGAGCAGTATCAGATCTGGTGAAGAGATTGAGATTGTTAATAGCCTGAGTTTGCTTGGCTCCGCAATCAACACTCTTGGTACCAACAGCCAGGAAATCAAGAGATGAGTTTCATTGGGATAGTCCGCTGTCAAGGACCTGTCCAGAGTACTGAAGAGCAACGATGTCAGTCTGGAGACTAAAGTGCACCTGATCCAGGACATAGTCTTCGCAAAAGTTTGCTATGCACCAGAGAGCTGGACATTAACTAGGGATGGTAGAGAATTGATGCCTTTGAACTGTGCTGCTGGAGAAGAGTGCTGACTATACCATGGATTGCCAGGGAAACAAACAGTTTTGTCCTAGAGAGGGTGAAGCCAGGCTGCTCATTGGAGGCAAGTATTCAGAAGTTTCATCTGACATACTTTGGGCAAGTTGCAAAGAGGCACTGGTCCCTGGAGAGGGACATCATGCTTGGAAGGGTGGAGGGACAGAAAAAGAGAGGGAGACAATCAATAAGATGGATTGATACAACAACTGGGATAATGAGGGTAGGTGTGTCAGGGACAGGAAAGTTGGCACAGAATAGAGCAAGTTTCAGGGCTGTTACACATAGGGTCACTACAAACCACAAGTGGCATGATGGCTCATAACAACAACAACAACAACAACAACAACAACAGAAGCTATGAGTATAATTCACTGCATGCATGAGGAATATAAATACTAAAGAAAGTAGAAAATTTCATCTGCTTTACATGAGTTCATTTCAGTTCCCTAAGGTGAAAGGAACCAATTTAAACCCAGACAGCTCACCTTGGGAGAATGAAAGTAGCTTATAGCTTGATCAGTTCAGTTCAAAATTTGCTGGTTTTGGAACAAAAGGTACAAGTTCCTTATACTTTGTATTTATCTCTACCCAGAATGTGGCTTTTTCACATATATCTTCAGGTCTATACATCCATACAAAATAAGGAGCTAATACTCTAATGTTATTTTATCTCTTATGCTATTATGATTTTAGATTTCCTGAAGTCCCAACTTTTTGTTTGTTTGTCCTAATTAGGAATACTATCCTTTTGTTAATTTTAGTTTTACGTGTTTTTTTTACTCTGCACATTTCTCTAATCAGAAGTACAATAGCACTGAGGTAAGCTAGACCTTCTGGTGGTGGTGATGGTCTTGAACTTTCAATGGTTGAGAACTTCCTTCTTTTAAGATAAGTCAGTCAAGTTTTCAATTAGAAAAGAAAGGGGGGGGGAAACTTCTGGTAAACCAATTACTAAAAAGAGATGCAAATTTACAGAATGGGAAACTGATAGCTTTCTAAGCAAATGGAAATGTAGACCAGGAGGGACTCACAGAAGGGCAAGGGCTTTGCATGTGTGTTTAATCCAACTCCTCTATCCAGTTTCTTGGGTTTTAGTTACTCATTTCAAACAATGTTTATGGAATGTCTACTGTATTAGATGATATTTTGGGAGATAAAGGATATCTAAAAAAGGAAAATTACTGAAAATTCATTTTTCAACTAAATGCTTGGTTGTCCTAAATAGGGACATTATCTTTTCGCTCATTTTAGATTTATATGTATTTTAAGCAAAATACACATGCTTCTTTTATGACTTTTAAAAAGAAGACTATATTTTTATTTGCCAAATATAACACTTTTGTTGTTGTTGTTATGTGCTGTCCAGTCATAGTGACACGATGTACAACAGCCCTAAACCCTGCTCTATTCTGTGCCAGTCTCATTGCCTCTGACACACCCATCCCAATTACCCCAGTCACTGAATCAATCTACCTCATAGAGGGTCTTCCCCTCTTGCGCTGTCCCTCCACTCTGCCCAGCATGATGTCCCTCTCCAAAGACCTGTCTCTCCTTACAACATGTCCAAAGTATGTCAGGTGAAGCCCCAGAATCCTTGCCTCCAAGGAGCAGCCTGGTTTAACCCTCTCTACGATGAATCTGTTTGTTTTCTTGGCAGTCCATGGTACATTCAATACTCTTCTCCAGCACCACAGCTCAAAGACGTCAATTCTCCTTCTATCCTCCCTAGTCATTGTCCAACTCTCTGATGCATAACAAGTGATTGCAAAAACCATGGCCTGTATCAGGCGCACCTTAGTCTCCAGAGAGACACCGTTGCTCTTGAGTACTTTAGAGAGGTTCCTAACCACACTAGTGCTATATTGTTGTTATTGGAGAACAATATTAACACTAGTTCTTATAAAAGTCATTATGAACGGGACCAGACAGCACACTGTTACTTCCCTGACCTGTCTCTTGTACCCCTGAACTGCTCTTCTCCAGCAACTGGACTTCCCCTCTGCTACTAATGCATAGTGGTGCTTTTTGTTGACTTTAGTCGTTAGAGAAGCAGTGGAATAAAATTGAAATGTGTCAGTGAAGAAGAGGATGTTAGCAGTTAACGATGGATAGAAGATGTTTGAGCAGATTTCAATTCACTTCTAAAGCTTTAGAAATTTTCAGTTATGATGTTAGTACAATTAACAATACTAATACAACGTTAGCATAAGTTACTTCTCATATTTCTGAGTACTTGGGATAAACTATTATGTGTAAATATCATAGTAATTTAAATTAATTACTTAAAATTCAGTGTGTTACAGAGTTAATGGGTTTTCCTTTCTTTAGTCTTTCTAATGATCCTATGAGATGAGTCTTGCACAATTCTCAATTTGGGCAAAATTAATGGGTTTTTTAAAGTTTAAGTGCCTCTTTTCTTTATATAATTTATAAAGGGTCTTTCTTCCTAGATCTATTTGATAACTGACTATACTTCTAATCATTATGTGGTATGGCTTCACTGAGATTTGATGTCATAATTCCACATCAGTTCAATATTAATTTTGGGGGAGGAAATAAAAGTACACGTCCTACTAGAAAATGGTTAGAAAAATAATGCACATATAAAATATTTTATATCAACTTTTGTTTTTTTTTCTCCTGAGGTGAAAGCTATAAGCTGAATCATGTACTCAGGAAATCTAACGTCAAACACCAATTTCATCCTGGTGGGGCTCTTTGGTTCAGCAAATTATGCAGTCTTTCTGTACAGTCTGTCCTTCATCCTTTTCTTGATGGCCCTGGTTGGGAATGCCCTACTTATCCTCCTCATTCACAGAGATCCCCACCTGCACTCCTCCATGTACTTTTTCATCAGCCAGCTCTCGCTCATGGATCTCATGTACATATGTGTGACTGTCCCCAACATGCTTCTGGGTGAGGTCACAGGAAATAACGAAATTTCCCCTTTAGGCTGTGGAGTCCAGATGTTCTTCTATCTGACACTTGTCGGAGCTGAATTTTTCCTCCTTGCTGCCATGGCCTATGATCGGTACACAGCTATCTGCAAGCCTCTCCATTATCCACTGCTCATGAACCAGAGAGCTTGCCAGCTCCTCGTGTCTGGATGCTGGTTCCTGGGAACGGTTGATGGGGTGTTGCTCACCCCAGTTACTATGAGTTTCCCCTTTTGTCAGTCCAGGAAAATTATGAATTTCTTTTGTGAGGCTCCTACCCTGCTGAAGCTCTCTTGCTCTGACATTTCCCTGTACAAAACCCTCATGTACGTGTGCTGTGTTCTTATGCTCCTCATCCCTTTCTCCATCATCTCTGCCTCATATGCTCTCATTCTGCGTCTTATCCACAGGATGAATTCTGCCGAGGGTCGCAGGAAGGCTCTTGCTACCTGCTCCTCACACATGGTGGTTGTACTGCTCTTTTTTGGTGCCTCCATCTACACTTATCTGCTCCCCAGATACTACCACACAGCTAAGCAGGACATGTTGGTATCTGCATCTTACACAATCATGACCCCTGTGCTGAACCCCCTCATTTACAGCTTCAGGAACAAAGATGTCACAGGGGCTCTGAGAAGCCTCATACCATCAGGAATGAAATGGAGAAAAGTTGTAAATATTAAAACTTAGGAATTATCATCTCCTTGTTCTCATTCGTTTTTTCACTTCATCTCTCATCTCACTCAGTTATCTAATTTGTGAACCCAATTACCGAGTTCTCTCAAATCATCTTCCCTGTCATATATGTGGCATTTCTACTCTACACTCGTACTAATCTTGACTTACTGGTTACGCTTAAGATCCTCAGAGGCTTTTATCTCTGATGCAACAATCAACGTAATAAAGACAGGAAAGAATACCTTGTATCTTTTCTCCCCTACAAAATTTCTTGATTAAAGAGTAATATTTGAGGAGTTACAGCTTTAACCTTAAAAGTCCATTATTGTAGAATGAGTATAAGGATCCAAGCGGGGG